CGTGTGTAGTCCACAGAGTGCCTCATTATGGCAGTCAGTCGCAGCAGTCGGTCCTCCGAGATACACAAAGGCGCTGTCAGCAGCAGGACGTGTGCGCAGTAGTGTGTGTGTGCGCGCGCATTGGGGGATGTTGAGCTCGGGCTTCCCCCTTTTGGAGGTTGGTGAGAAGGAAGATGGACGCAGGGGGGGGGGGGTATAGCGGATTATTGAGACAGGGCCAGTGTTGTTTTTACACACTCATCAAGTTCAACCGTCAGACGACGACATGCTCCGTTGCCTCCTTTGTGCCTCTTTGGCCCACATTTCAGAGCAGCATCAACACTTAACAACACACTTCCTGTGTCTTTTGTACCCCCCCCCCCATCTTCCTGCAGCCCTTCCACCCCATGGTCAACTTGCAGTGCTCCCCCGAGCTCAGGATGTTTCTGTGCGCTCTGTACGCGCCCGTCTGCAGCGAGTACGGCCGCGTGACCCCGCCCTGCCGCCGGCTGTGTTTGCAGGCCAAAAGCGACTGCTACAAACTCATGGACATGTTTGGCGTCGGCTGGCCCGAGGAGATGGACTGCAACAGGTTGGTGCCCGACCACCTGCGGTTTAAGACGCGTTTGGTCGGGGCGAGACGAGACGAGCGGTCACCCCGCCGGCATGAGAACACGGAGGACCGGCGAGACTGTCGAGAAATTGAATGAAGCGCACCTCTTACTCCAAAGGATACGGCGATTTGATTGCTAGCTAAAAGGGGAAACCGCAACGTTGCGCATCGCGTTGTGATGTTTATGCTGAAAAAGGGGAAACTTGGGGCGAGGTTTTTTCGAAAAAATTCTGTTTTTGTCATGCTAAAGAAAAGAATGCAGGGGGATGCATCGACAATTGTGGGAATCGAGGTCGCGTTTGAGTGGTCAGCGAGTGGAAGACATTTCATAGGCTACGTCGCCATCTTGTCCCCCGTCAGGTTTCCGGACTGCGACGAGCCCTACCCCCGTCCCGTCGACCTCCTGTCCAGCGCAGACACGACCGAGCCCACCGTTCCCGTTCAGCGAGACTACGGATTCTGGTGCCCCCGAGAGCTGAAAATCGACCCGGAGCTGGGCTACTCCTTCATGGGGGTCCGCGACTGCTCGCCCCCTTGTCCCAACATGTACTTCACTCGCGAGGAACTGACCTTCGCACGCTACTTCATCGGCGTGGTGTCCATCGTGTGCCTCTCCGCCACGCTCTTCACCTTCCTCACTTTCCTCATCGACGTGTCGCGCTTCCGCTACCCGGAGCGGCCCATCATCTTCTACGCGGTGTGTTACATGATGGTGTCCCTCGTGTTCTTCCTCGGTTTCCTGTTGGAGGACCGGGTGGCGTGTAACGCCGCAGTTCCCGGCAGGTTTCGGGCCTCGACGGTGACTCAAGGCTCCCACAATAAGGTGAGGCCGCACCGTCACGTCTCCACCAAACGGAAGTTAGCCCCGGCGAAATCTCGGAAGCCTTCTTGTTGTCTTTCCCCAACGTTGTTGTTGCTGCTCCGTTTCAGGCCTGCACGCTCCTCTTCATGGTGCTGTATTTCTTCACGGTGGCGGGCAGCGTCTGGTGGGTCATCCTGACCGTCACGTGGTTCCTGGCCGCCGTTCCCAAGTGGGGCAGCGAGGCCATCGAGAAGAAGGCCCTCCTCTTCCACGCCTGCGCCTGGGGCATCCCCGGCGTGCTCACCGTCAGCCTGCTCGCCATGAACAAGATCGAGGGAGACAGCGTCAGCGGCGTTTGCTTTGTGGGCCTGTACGACCTGCCGGCGCTGCGCTGGTTCTTGCTGGCTCCGCTGGGGGTGGACGTGGTGGTGAGCAAAGACCCGCCGCGATGAGCCAACGTCGCCGCGCCGGCGGCCGACTGACGAGGACCGGTCCCCCCCCTCTCGCCCCCATTCTGTCAGGTGGGCGTGGCGCTCCTGCTCGCCGGGATCGCGGCTCTCAACCGCGTCCGCATGGAGATCCCCCTGGAGAAGGAGAACCAGGAGAAACTGGTCAAGTTCATGATTCGCATCGGCGTGTTCTCCGTGCTCTACCTGGTGCCTCTGCTGAGCGTTCTGGCCTGCTACCTCTACGAGAACAGCCACAGGACCGTCTGGGAGACGACGTGGGTCCAGGAGAAGTGTCGCGACTACCACATTCCCTGTCCCTACCAGGTGACACCACAACACCGTCAACACTTTACAAGTGACTTTCTTTTGGGTAGTGGGGGAACCTAAATTACAAAAAGAAATGTATTGTGATATTCATTGATTTTCGGCAGCGACTACATTTGCAAACCTTTCCAAAACACTATCCTATTTTGGAATGAGGCTGGAACATAAAACGTGGAAAAAAAAAGCGAATAAGAGTGAGAACCGTAGCTCACAAAGTCGATGCAACGAGATGGTGGACTAAACTGTAATCTGATGTGTAATCTGGGAATTTTGTTCAAAAGAGCAGCACTGTAATCCAGAGTGTTTGTTTGTGTAGGGGGGCGGAGGTTGTTGGGTTCAAGTCGTTGCATCGTTGCAGTTGCACTCGCCCAACCCCCTCTTCGTCGTCTTTATGAAATGATGCACATGTGCACGGTTGACGTCGTGGACTCTCAGCGCCTTTCTATATTTATCTTTTATCCAAACTTGCCCCCAGGCTAAGACATCAATTGGCCTGCGTGATGACACACACATACACGCACTTTTTGAAATACGATGTATGAAGAAGTTGGAGGTGCTTTCGGCTCAATGCGGCTCAATGCGGTACCTGCTGAAATTTTGTCATCTCTGCCTAGTCTGCTCCTAATTTTGGGTGTGAGGGACAAAATGACAATTGAAATATAATAATAAGAATGATAACGGTTAGAATGATTCCATTAAAAACAGCCTTGTTTTGAATTGAACTGTAATACACTGAAATCAATCTGAATGTATTATTACGTGAAATAATCGAACTTTTGATCAACGCCTCACCCCCACCCCACCCTTTTTTTTCCCGTGTGTGTGTGTGTGTGTGTGTGTGTTGTGTGCAGGTGGGGCAGAGCAGTCGTCCTGACCTGTCCCTCTTCCTGATCAAGTACGTGATGATGCTGATCGTGGGGATCCCGTCTGTGTTCTGGGTAGGCAGCAAGAAGACCTGCTTCGAGTGGGCCAGCTTCTTCCATGGCAAGAGACGCAAAGAGTACGACGACACTGCAATGTGACACTTCGCACGCACACAAACATTTAACGGGGCTGGAACTGATGAATGGAATTGCAGCTAATTTCAATCGGAACCTTTGATTGTGACGTGTCAGTCTTCTGAATTGACGTGTTTTTGAGGCAGTTTGATTGTTAAAGCGGGTCCTTGTCCACACTTGCCCCGCCCCCCCAACTCAAGAGTGTTCAGCCCGTCTCCCAGCGACTCGTCCACTCACCCGTCTTTCCTCTCCCACCTTGCCCCCCACCCGTCCACCTTCCCACTGTCCCTGCCCACCTCTCCCCTCTTCCCCTCCCCTCCCCGGGCACCGCGTCTCTCCTCAGCGCCATGGTTGACAGTCGGCAGGTCCCGCGGGAGCCCGACTTCGCCCGGTTGCTCCTGAGGGACCCCCAGGAGCCCGTCGCCAGGAAGTCCCGCGGCACGTCCACGCAGGGCACGTCCACGCACGCCTCCTCCACCCACTTAGCCATGCTGGACGAGCCCCCCAGCGGTAGCACCAGCCGGGCGGGCTCGCTGCGCAGCGGCCGCTCCAAGTTGAGCAGCTACCACGGCAGCCTGCGCCGCTCCCGAGATGACGGGTGAGCTCCTCGCCCACCTGTTCTTCGCCTGAGCGTCTTAATTCCACGTTGTTCACATCCGCCGCCAGCAGGTCACGGCACTCTAACGGCTTTCCACTCTTGTTCATGTCTTCTGTCATCACCATCATCACCGCGTCCTTCAGATACACGGCCTCCGGCTTCCGAGCGTCTGACGACCGCGCCCCTTACGGCAGCATGCCCCAGCTGGACGACCCTTCCCGAACGAGACACTCGAGCGCAGATCACCTGGACGGCCTGTCAAGACACGGTTCCGCTCACTTGCTGGACATCCACTCTCGGCACGGCAGCATCAGGGACCTCAGCTGCGTCCCCCAAGCTTCGCTGGGGTTCCCAGCAAACGGCATTCACAGGGTGCTGGAGGAAGACGCAGCATGAGACATTTTACTGACAATGTGCTCAATCCTTTTTTTTTTTATGCTTGGGTCTGGGGCAACGCCTTACAGGTGCCAGACCTACTCGCCAAAATTAAGAACGGACTTGAAAATAATTTTTGGTCTGAACACAATGTCCAATCATGATCAGAAATCCAAAGACTACTTTTTGGATGGTTTTATTGCACCTTTTGGAGGTCCTGAAGGTCTTTAGCTCACCCTTGTCCACTCGTTGGCCTTTTTTTGTGTTTATCAGCAGGATGGACTGAAACCTATTTGCTCACTAACTGCACATTCTGGTACGTTGGCTTGCTGAAATCTCTCCGTTCAGAATGTTTTCATGCTCGGTGAATGTGCTTGGGAAATAATTCTTAAACCATGTTTATCTCCCAAAATAGGGGGAAAAGACAAGTATAACACAGAAACTGCCATGTTTTAGTATTTTGTGGATCATTTCAAATTTGATGGGTAGGACATAAAATTACTTCCACTTGTGGAATGACCCAGATCAAAAAGTAGTCGGTAGGAAGATATCTTCAGAGCCAGTAACCTGAATTTGTTTGATTGTCACTTACCTTTATGGAATTGATTACATTAAAAAATTAAGTCTGAATTATTAAAATAAAACTATTGAAAACTACCACATATTTTACAAGCCCCCCCCCCCACACACATTTACCCATCTACAAATAAAAGAATAAATAGAAGGTGGCCCCTGAGCACTAAAGTTTGCCGACCCATGTTGACCAGAGCATTATTTGTCCTGGTGGTTCAAAGCTGTGCATAAATGTACAAAATTCTCTTTGAGTTTGTGATTTTTTTTTTCAATAAATGGAAAAGAACATGTTTTGCTAAAAAACACGCGCGCGCGCACACGCACACACACACACACACAGTGCATTTGTAACAGCCCTCCGCTTTATTGAAATACATCGGAGTCAGGTTAATATGAGTTGTCCACAGAAGTGTGGCAGCCAGTTCCATACATTTTGTTTTGACCTTACACCTTAAATATTTTTGTGCAAAAAGAATCTACATCACCTGTAGTGGGTTATCCTCAGTAAAACGCCCAAACCGTTAAAAAAAAACAAAAGAAAGAAAAGAAAATCCAAAAGAAAACAAACCAAAAAACAAATGATTACATCTATAACATGCAAAACTGTACAAATTATTACAAAGCAATCCTAAAAAAAAAAAAACAACCAAAGTGTATTATGATATGAAAGCAAAATATAGAAGGTATTTTAGATAAGACCTCACTGAAATGCAAAGGCAATTGATTTTTTTTCCTTACGTTTTTCTCTCCACAGCAGCCCGAAAACATTTTCTTTTTAATCCACTCCTGCCATAAAAATCATCATATTGCTTCTAACCTTTTCCTGAGTTAGTCTTTCTTGTCGTCTGGATCGTTTTATTTCACCTGTACAGTGTACAACAATGGCCAATAAAAGGTCCTCCTCGCTCTGAGATAATACATTCCACGTGCCGGGCGCTCAGGAGGTGCTTTCAATCAGAATCAAATCGGCTTGGTTAGTAACTCAACCAAAAGAAAAACGCACACATGTGGAATAGTGTTTCAAAAAATAAAAAATAAAATAAAATAATCAAATGGAGAGGAATGACCACGTCATGTATTTTTGCTTCCCTGACAACCACACTTACAAAGTGACAGAATAACACATTAGAAGCACACCGTCGTGTCGTGAATACCCACATGGTCGTGTCATGTGTGAGGACACCTCGCATCCACCAGTAGAAGAAGCAAAATAAAATAACAGTCGGCGCTATGATAAGCAGATTGGCTTGTGAATGGGAGGCCAAAAGGAGCTGCGAGCTTTTCAACATAAAGCTCCCACAGTGTCGACATTCTTTGCTTTTTTTTTGTTTTGTTTTGTTTTCTTTTTCTCATCGGGAATGAGCAGCTGATCCCAACAAACGTTCAGCGCAAACAACGGCTCGACTGATCTTTGCCTTTTTTTTTTCTTTTTCTCATCGGGAATGAGCAGCTGATCCCAACAAACGTTCAGCGCAAGCAACGGCTCGACTGAAAGTCTGGATGTTGCCCTCTTTTTTTTCTCCCCCATTTTTTGGGGTAACCAAATAAAGCTCACGTGCACACTTTAAAACATTTTGCCGCATTCACATCCCTTCGGTGCCTACGCGTGTTCATTCAGATTTTCGCTCAAATTCGAATCTACATTTATGGGAGGGGGACAAGGCGTCATAAAATAAGAAAATCGAAACGCAATCGATAAAACAAAAGTTTTAAAATGGATTCCGTATGAATAAAACCCCAAATCACTCGAGAATAAAATAGGAAAAATAATAGGATATTTCCCCGGGTAGTTCTCTATAGTATTTCCTTATCATATATTACTCTCTACTTGGAACCTATGTACATTATTGTAGTGGTTGGGCCGGGGGGCCAAGTGGACCCCTTTGAGGATGAGCGATGAGGTCGCCGGCTGTATTTTGGAAGGAAAACGGATTATAAAGTGACTGTACTTAGTGGGAAGTTTAGTGTTAGCAAAGTCTGCAGCTTGGTTGGTTGGGGAGGAGGGCGCAATGGGCTTTTTGGGGGCCGCCGGCAAAACAAAGGCTTCTAGTCTAATATTGATAAATAAATTAAAATATTGTCCCCTAATACCCAAAAAGCTCCTATGTACAAATACAAATCTTTTTTTTTTCCTGTCTTTGCATCTGAATGAGGCAGGGAAGGGTGTGTCAGCATTTGACTCAGACGCCACTTCTACCCCAATAAACAATCGTTAAAGGGGGCGGGTGGGTCGGGTGGGGGGTTCGCGAGGGAGGTAAAGTTGTGTTGGCATAGGTTGGGTGGGGAGTCGTGTGCTGTCACTAGACTGGCGGGCCGGTGGGGGTGCGGGCCGGGCCGGGCCGGCTCATGTGTCCCAGCCCATTCGGTCAGTGCTCTCCAAGGACAGCGACTTGGTCTTGTGAGGCGAGGCCGGACTGGGGGGGCTGCTGAAGGTGGAACTGTTGGAGGCCGTCGAGTGACGTGGGGAATCAGAGTCCTGCAAAAGAAAAAAAGAAAAGAGAAAGGAAGCATTTCGATTTACTTTGAGATTCCTTCTGTTGCCATGGTAACCGTGTGTGCACATAGAGGAGTGGTCATCACAATGACGCGTGATGGCAGGACATGGAGGATAACAAGTGACCAAGTGTCGAGCTGAAATGCTTCGGTGAACACTGACAATTTCCCCAGAATGTCCAAATGTGGCGCGCGGGTTCGTTTGGCAACGAGAACACACATCCAATAACAGTGAGGATGTGAGCCAGTATGCATGTAACACACACGCACACTCACGCACAGACACGCACACGTCCTGTAGGGCGCAGGTCATTTAAGTCGTTGACATTACCTTCATCTTACTAAGCAAGGTCCTTAAAGCCCTTTTCAGATCGGGGGTCTTCTCCGACGGCGAAACCGCCTGCCACTGCAGAGGAGAGTTGAGACTCAGGGCCGCACCCACAGACAGCATGCTGGGGTGGGGTGGGGGTGGTGGGGGCGGTTGGGCGGGTGGGTTGAAGGTGCACGAAAGGCGAGAAATGGGGCAGAATGGGATCGGGCGGCTTCCGGCGCTCAGTGGCCATGAGGGTGGTGACGCGGAGTTTGATCGAGGCAGGGGGAAGGAGGAATGGGGTGGGCTTGTTTAGTTGGGTGGCACACGTCACCCATAACCAAACAACGACAGCGCTTACTGTTCAATGCTACGCGGTCATGAGACGTGACATGACAAGACTTTCCTTTCACAGAACAGGAAGTAATCATGTAGGCTGAAACCCAGCCGATGAAACAGCAACAGTCAAGATCAGAAAGAGCCGCTTAGGTGGGTGCTGCTGCAGAAATGTGACATTGCGGGGTGTCCACCGGTCAGCAAGTCGGAAGAGGAGGATGAGGTCAAGCGCCCGCTGGGATGTTTGTGGCGGATGGGAGAGGGGGGGGGGATGTGCAACAACTATGATCACATGCAAAGACACAATCGTGTTGTTGGGTTGACTATCCGGGACTATTTCCCCCTTGACCTTTATTCCACATGAAGGGCTAGGCACTGACCTCTCGGTCAAACTGAGAGAGGGGAGCTTCCCCACAGTCCACGCCTCCACCCGAGGACAGGGAGCTCTCCGAGGGCGACGTCATGGCTTGCCGCTTCGAGCTGTAGCTTCCGCCCGACAGCTCCCGGCGGAGGGCGCTGCCGTTCTGGGAAGACGAGCCTGTGACGACATCAAGTCAGAAGGAATTCAGGCTACGAGGCGGCGGCAGCGGCGGCGACGTCGCCCACTCACGTATGCCCAGTCCACTGCTGGCACTCATGGAGCGGCCCGGCTCGGCCCTGTTCTTGGTGATGGAAGGGATGCTGACCGAACCGCTGAAGCCCGCGCGGCTCTCTTGGATGCGGACATTCTAAATTGAGCACACGCACAGAAAAAGCGGTGAGGCACAGGCAAAAGCCCGTGAAACTCGACAAATGCCCGAAGAAACTGAAGGTCGTATCAAGTTTGAATGTTTTAACAGATTTCTTTTTGGAAAGTGTCGAGGGCGGGGCTTTGGGAAGGCCGTTCCAGAGGCTTCATTTTAAGCTTGCTTTATCCATTCCAAAGGGAGCTCTGATGTTTGCCGAAGGATGAATTTGTGTATGTGGTCCTCCTTTCCTTCACCACCACGCCTGACGGTTCTGTGGGTTGAAAGCCTCCCCTTGAGTCCTCATCATACCCCATGTGGCTAAATAGCTCAATCTTTGTCTCGTCTGATGAGAAATACTTTGTCCAGAAGGCATTTGGCTTGTCCAGGTGGGCAGTGGCAAATTCCTGTCAGACTGGAAGATGTCATTTGGGAAGCACGGGCCTTTTTCCTGGTTGGCACCCTCTCAATCCAGTTTCTGGCGTCACAACACTTTTGAGTAAGAACTGTGGACAATGGCCCTGGTGCTCAGAGAGTTTGCAGTTCATAGCAGGCTTGATTCGTGGTGGTGCCCGGGTTGCGCCTCGACATCCAAACTTTTTGTCCCCATCATCTGATAGTTTGGAGCTTCTTCCAGACCCTGATAAAGTGCTGATGTGTCCAAAATATAAGCTAAAGCAACATACCTACCAATGTGTAGGAGCTTTAAAAATGTTTTTTAAAGACTTTCCCACCTTGCACGAATCTGTTCTGTGTAGTGGTCGATCACATGAATGATCCTTTGATATTGTGGACGGTGGCTGTGCATGTCAATTGGGCGTTTGCAGCGATGTGTTTGAATACCATGGGCAGGTCTTTGAGAATCTGGATCCCGTCCCCGGGTCCCATGTGGGCAACGTGGTTGAAGTTTGTGGGGTTGGAGATCAGCTTGTTCCTCATCTCTGGATCCCGCAGCATCTCTCTGCAGTCACAAAACCATTTTTACCTCATGCGGCGTTCAATGTTGGTAACATAAAACTAATTTCAAATCAATAAGGCGGACTTGTGATTCATATCTTATAAATACATATCGTGGTCATTGAAATACATCTCGGTGAGAAAAAATGAACACAGAATTATCATCCTGAGCATGCCTGTTTCAGTACCTCCTCTGCTGAAGTCGCTCTTCCTCTGGCACCCTGAAGGAGAAGCGTCTCTTATTGTTCATGCTGCGTACCATCTGCTTCCTGCTGTTGTCTGACGTCTCCGGGACGACCAGCTCGTCGCCCTCTGAAAGATCACAACAAAGCCACGGGCATGTTTACATCGGTGACTACAAAGCACTTCTCACACACGCAAGATAGCTAACAAACATGATCAGCGTTGCCACAGACACATCTGGTGCCAGAAGAGCACGCGGGCTTTTACAAGGCTGTTACAACACCCAGTCAACAGTTGGCGTTCACTGTGTGAGACTAATGCAATGGAGAGAAGTCGTCGTGGGGATTATAGTTGGTCATTTATCGCCAAATTGCATAGAGGACAACTCACCAGCTGTTTTGTTTCTAAAGTAGATGAGCCGCACTGTTTCCAAGCCCAACAGGTTCAGGGAGCCGTCGACATTCAAAGGTCGCACCTGTATTCAGACACATGTACAACCGTTGATGGGCCATCATTCAATCGTTGGATCAAGCCCAGGCAAGCACCCCCCCCCCTCCGCCCCCCATTTCCGTGAGGGTACAACTTCAAATGTTGTCCACAAGAGGGAGACAGAGGCTGGACTTTCACTGTAGGCCCAAATGTACCGCTTCCAAATTTACTGGACACTCGTATTCCGTGATCAGTTGATTTACATCGACACTAAACACATAAAACCATCCGTAGGTGCACAACTAAAAGGGTGTCAGTATCAAGCAGCAACAACGTTTTTACGACACAGGTGGCCTGAATTGACTCCATTGTTTCAAAGGTTACTGCACTGAGTGCTGCCCGCAATTGCTGTATTTTTCCAATTCATGAACCGACACACCTCGAATGTAACATATTTAGACCACATCAAATGGTCTGTGCTGTTACTGTCGTTTAAATGTACAATGACCTTTTTTTTTTTAATTTGGTTTATTCGTTTGCCAAATGGGTATTTGCCCAATTTGTCCATTTACGCTTCAATTGCATTGGCAGATATCTGATCCACATCAGCTTTATATTCACTTTCAGAAGAGGCCTGATTTTCATCAGATGATATTTTCTCCATCTTTATTCTGCCAAGATGCATATGCGAATTGGGCTACAGGAGCAGAATAAACCGACTTGTGTCACTTGAACCATGTGGCACAAATCCAGCACAGTCACTTCAGGTCTTGACACAGTTAAAGAGTTAGCCACAGACCTTCTTCAACGGGATGGTCTGAATCCACTCCATGGTGTTGACATCAAACACATCAACTGCATTCTCACTGTACACCGACAGGTAAGGGGCATTGTAGCCTGAAGAGGGGGGAGAGGGTATTGGTTACACATTTCTGTTAAGGCCACATCGATGCCCGGTTTAACTCTGAGAAAGCTTACAGGCGCTGTTTGGCACAGCGGGCCACATGAGCTCCTGCTGGCGTGACCTGCGTCCTTGAGAGTCCACGTACACGCCGATGGCACTGAAGCACAGCAACAATTCCTTGCTCGAGATCTCCACGGCACAAAGGGCATCCAAGTTCTGCTGAGGGATAAATGCCAGGGTGTGATCCTCGGGATGAAGCAGGCTAACTGGATTCACGTCACCGTGGACACTGTGGAGGCGATCAGAGGAAGTTTTTTTTTGAGTCGCAATCCATAAAAATGAGGAGGCCAAACGCTCACGGTACCTGTAGCGGGTGAAGCCGGACTGGTATCCCACATATAGCCGCTCATTGAGCAGACCCATCCATTGGACAAGCCCTGGAGCTTGCAGCTCCCGCAGCCGACGGTGGCGGGCTTTGCTCTTGTTCACCTGAAGTGGAAGGAGCACAGATTGGAAAAATAAAATTGGCATGACCTTACGCCAAAAAGCGAGGAGTGTAGTGTAAGGCCGGTACAAACCTCGTAACACATGATCTGCCTCTTCATGGCCACACAGAGACATGTGAGAGAGCCGTTTCGGACGGGCCCGGAGACAATGGTCTGACAGCCCTTTGTCTCGCCGAGCTTGTAGGACTCGATCTCGCGACCATCAAGGGCCTGCGAGGGGAAGAGTCGGACGTGGCGGTTCCTTCCAGAGATGACAGCCAGCAGCTGCTCTTGGGGGATCAGGTCGATGTGGTGCACCTTCTTATTGTCGCCCACCCGAATGATTTCTGAAGGAAGGATGCAGGGTGAGAAGGGTCACCGAGAATGACACGGGAAACTCTTTGACATTCTATTTTGTCAAATAGTTTGACAAGGAGTGGCTCTCACCATCTTTGGTGACGTGGATGACAAAGAGGCCTTCTTCGTTGCCCAGGGCGACACGCTCGTGATCTGAGGGAAAAGCAGAAAAAATGGCTTTTTGAGAGCATATTGTTGGGAATTGTAGCATTGGTCTTGCCCATGAATCCAGCGTGGGGCCATCACGGGCCAGAATTGATCTGTGTGCGGAGCGACGCCACTGAGACAAATAACACAAGCATTATGTGTTGAATTCTCACCTATGATAGCAGCAGACTGTGTCGTCTTGATGAGCGGCAGTGTGCTGTCGTAAGCCTCCTTGGGGACGTAGACGAAGCGTTCCTTGAGCTTGTTCTTCTTGAGGATGCGGTGGAGCTCATTGAGAAGACCCACCCACTTGTTTCTCTCCTGGTCACTGTCAGCTAGAATCAAGATGGATGGCTTGTGGCTGCTGGAGGGGGAGAGCTGAGACGCCGTTACCTGTAGAGAGGACAGTGACATCTGGTGAACATGGGCAAATAAATAAGGCGTCTCTAGTCTTTTGTTCTTTCACTGTTGAGGCTAAAAATCCCCACAGTGAAAAAGGGAAATGACAAATGCTATCAATCATCATTGAGGTTGGCTCTGGTCTCCGGAGATATCCAAAGAAATGATCATTGAACCTAAAGTGGATGAGTGTAGATTTGTTGCGATACAAACAGTTTACAGATGACTACAGGTGAGAGGAACCCACTCTGAATATGCAGGGGATGTCTTTGCGGCTCGCGTGAATGACGTCAGAGGCCAGAACAGAGCTGACGGAAAACTCTTCGTCCCTGGATGAAACGAAACAAGGATAGACAAGGTCAAACCTGCGGGAGCACATGCAATGCAATCCTACGAGTGTGGCAGAATCGTTTGCAAGTCGTCGGCTTCCGGTGCGTAGTAGTACCTGGCCAGCGGTGCACTTTCTTACCTCATGTCTATGACTTGGCTCACAATGACACTCGGCTGTGTTGTCTTTCCTTCGCCTAACTCGTAGAGAAAGAGTTTGAAGTCGCACACCACTGCCATCGCCCTCTGCCAGCCCTTCTTCACCCCGGTTGGTTTAGGCACCTATTACCCACAAAGCATCTTATTGTCATGTTGACGTCAAGTAACTTTGACTAGACATAGTCATTTTCGAGCTCACTTACCCTCACGTGCCCTTCATATGCTGTACCAATACCCCTCTGAGGATCGATGCCAAGCGGTCCTTTGGTCTGATCCTGCGGGACGGGACATACTGCTGGAGCCTTGTCTGCACATGTTACGTGGCAGGAGAAGTTGCAAACTAGATGAGGAGAGAGCAGTAATCAGGTTAGAGATTTGGAGACTTTCCAATACACCCCGTCACGGTTGTGCTCATCTACAGACATTGTTAAACACACGCGACGCAGTTTGTAGTACCAGGTCAGATTTAGGGTTCTTTATTTTAGTTACTGAATGTTGCTTGCTTTTCAGTAATGTTGAACCGCACTGCGTCATGCACTGTAACCACATGAAACAGACACGGATCCACATCTGAGCATGATGCAGTGCAGTTTGACTAAATGACAAACACAATAATACGACTGCTACACAACTGCTTAAAAACGGAGCCTTCGTATTGCCCCCTATATAATGATTCCTTTATGTAGCAGTAGAACACTGTTCCTGTGTTGGATCACAAAAGATGTAGCTCGATTGTGGTGGGTGAGGTTTTGGCTGAGTTAGCAAGTACTGTGAATCTCATGAAACATACTTGAATTTGCAAAGCTCTTACCTTCACAGGTGCAACCTTGGCGTATGAGTCCCACCATGAGGGAAGTGCACTGGTTACATTTTGTGGGCGTGCTGAATGACTTCACTACAAATTGATGTGCTTTTGGCTGAAGGGGGAAAAAAAAAAAAAGAAAACAAGGTCGAGAAAGATGAGATGAGATCTAGTTTTGAACTTGATCATATAAACTGCAACCAACATCGAGAAAAACAGCTAACCTTTGGGGAGGAGCGACCGATACTGCCATATCCTCCTGAGCGCATCGTGGGGGTCTGGACTGCTCGAGGAGAATGATCTATCAACTGAGGGGCACCAAAATAAAGCAATGTGAAAAGCCAGAGAGATGCTATTGAAGACTAAGTTCAAAATGCAGGCAAATTCCAGTTTCTTTTGTCCATATGCAATATGGATGAGAATTTTTCATGCAACGTGAACAGTACAATTCAGATTCTCTCCAAATCTAGCCCGGGACTCTTTTGTATGTGGATATAAATTGAATATGCAAACGATGGGTCTGCAGTATGAACAAATGCTCATCCGTACACATACAAACTACTGGTATATGTCATCAAAAGCCACACGGGAGCATATTTGCGACTGTGCCAAATGACAGGTTTTTTTGGTGAGCGTCCCTCAACGTCATGCTTTGTGCTATGCGTGTCCGCATACCATTCACATAGGAAGTCACATTTGTTTTTATAATTTGAATGAGTAGATAAAAAGATGGGATTTAACAACAAAATCCGCATTGGGCATCATGCACTGCAGCGCGAGCGTAACCGAATTCACACCAGACAAATATTTTGCAAGATGTCACGTGGTGAAAGCCTCTTCATAGAAATATTCAAGCGTTGTATCTTACATTTCTCAATAATTGTGTTTGTGACAACTGGCAAGGGCAAACCTGTCAGACAGTGTCGCCAGCGTGAGCAGAACACTTTCCCACACTGATTTGGTATGACAAGCATGTCGACGCATTTGAATTCGATGCACAACGTGACAGAACGAACGAGTCACGCTTGCAAGTAATCATGAAATATGTCGCTGTGAATATGTGTCCGCTGATACGAGCAAGAAGAGTCACGATAGCTGACGCCGAGTGGATATGGAGCTGTCTCACCTCGATGGGCTCCATATCGCTGGCCATTGACGGTGAACGTGAGCGGGACTTGAGGTGGGACTTCTGGTCATCTTCCCGGGATGGAGTGTTGGACGTTGTGAAATTATCCATTGAGTCCACCTGATGACAGGGATTCAATGAAATGGTGAAGGAGAGTGACAGAAATATAAAAATTGCAGATCACTGGAAGTTCACCATAATGTGCCCTCTACATTTTTGGGGGAAAACGTCAAGGTGTCAGATCATTCAAAGGAAAAGAAAAAAAAAAAGAACAAAAACGTCACTCCAGTCACCGATGAGAAAGATTTTGTTAAAAACATGATACACGCCTTCAATGTACATTGCAATGATCTATCAAGAGGGGAAAAAAATGAAAGCCCATGCTGATTGCCACCATACACCTGCTAACTGAATTGCAATTGCCAAAGCAAACAAAGGCCCATATCATGAAAATCCAACAACTCCAACATGCCTTTTGACACCACACCAGTCATCACAAAAAAGCATCCCATCCCCCGCCTTTGCCATGCAACAGTGATAGCAAACATACACAGACAGCACAGCAAATGAAATGAATTACGCAGGCGAATTAACGAGAGCGGTCACACAGTGATGGTGCTTACACGTCTGCCTTTGCTAGCTGGGCCAACGGATGGCGAGCGCTTCAGCGGCAGAAGAGAGGCGCGGCGTGTGTGGCAGAGACATAGAAGTGAGTGAATATCAGTAACTTAAGGTCATCTAGGTGAGCGGCAAACACATCTAAACGTTTTGTTTCGTGCACTGGGGTTGGACTGAGGAACAGTTCAGAAAGAGAACATACACAGACGGTGAAGGGAAAAGCAGGGAAAGTCAGTATGCACCACAGCGAATAATGACAGTCAGCTAAAAATATCTATGACGGGAAAATGGGGCGGTTGACATTTGTCGAAAAATGCAGGGAACTCTCGGTGGTACGGTTCAAACCAATCCCCGCAATCAAAAAGTCAGAGTGGGGCCACTCACAGAGCTCATTTACATAGACTGACTAGAACCGGTACTGCAAATGTCATCAATCACTACGAGGATTTCTGGGTAGAGTTGCATTTCTTCTACTGCGAGATACACTTTCAAACAAGCATGGATTTATATACACATCTACACTGCCCTTTTCACTTGTTAGGGTTACACTGACGACACAAACAAAAACAACTTCCATCTAACTAAGGAAACTTACGTCTTCCCAAAACTCAATTAAAGAAGATGAAGAAGAGGAATAAGAGTCCTGATGTATGCAAAAACAAAGCAAGGACAAACGATGTAACAATACAAAGAGGGAAAGATGAAAAAAAAAAGGCAAGACTGTTAAAAAAAAATAAATGAAGCAAATTAGACATAAGAACGAAATGGTGGCCATTATTGACTTGCCACTGGATATTTTAAAATGAATTCTTAAACAAACATCGAGTAACGGTCACAGACATTGTCGCAAGCTGTAATTATGTTCCACTTGTAAGCCGACAAACACTCACATCGAACTGGTCAAGTGTTGAGGTAGGGGCATTGAGAAAAGCTAAGAAAGAATTCTGGGAATCCTGGTGCTTGACACCTACGGACACACAGCAAAGAATACAATGTTGGTTAGGAAACTAAAGACAAAGAGCAAATAATGCCATGTTGGTTCGGAAACTAGCAGAGGGTGAGTTCTGTTGAGTCACAGGACTGCTCCTCACAGGAGCTTGAATATGATCCGACAATATATTTTGATCCATGTTGTATGCTTTTAATTCCCGGCACAAAAACAAATAGAAGACTGCAAAAAGTGTTTTTTTTTTTTTCCCTTGGGGGGCATATGCTTTAACTGCACTTCATAGCAACATATCTATTTTTGGGTTTTATTTACTTGCTTAACTGAAAACATCATCATCTGCATCATATTGATCAATGCCTTTGTCATCATGACATCAAAGTGAGGTTGCTCTTTTTCGTAGCCCTAGTAGCCATTGAAGAAGCAAATGCGTGACGACGTCTACGGGCACCTCTACGTAAGCGCAGCTCCTCGGTCTCTTTCTTCAGCCTGTCGATCTCAGCCAGGAGCTCCTGATTTCTGCTCTCGACGTCCTGCAGTTTACTGGTGAGAGTGTGGAAAGACAGGCATCATTTCACAAGTTGTGTATTTCTAATGACAAATACTTTGCGGAAACAAAAAAAAAAAAAAAAAAAAAAGGCTATACCATTCTGTGGAGATGTTGTTCGCCTTGACCTTATTCAGCTCATCCTGAATGCTCTGTTTGGCCCTGATCTCAGCGTCTAAGGCGGACTGCAACTCTAAGCGGGCTGACATGTCCAACTTGGCAAAGCGACGCATCTTCCAAGGCATGTCCTGCCGCACCAGAGAAGGGGGTAAAAACCATTGGACATGACATGACAATGTGACAACTGAGTGCGAGTGCTTTACCGTCGCTCTCGCTCCCAGACTGGTATTTCTCAGGCCCTCCAGCTCTTCCGTCATCTTTGTGGCCAAAGCCTGCAGGTAGCCGCGTGCATCTTTCTCATCACTCACCCTGCGGAAACCATGTTTCATTAGCCAAGGGATAAGCAAAATAAAGAGAGACATTTTACATAATTTAGCTAGAAAATAGCTGACTTTACTGCAAAATGACTTCACTCAAGTTGCCGTTCGTGCTTGTAAAAACACAGACGGTAGCCCGTTCTTTGTTATTGCACAGCTCTTTTGTTCAAGTAATATTTTTTTCCATTTCTCAGTTCGGCATGTCGACTAAAACTCACTGGGAACACCAAGAAAGCATAACAATGACAATACATCCACCGGAGGGCCATAAAAACTACCGGATTTGCAATGAAAATGCTAAACTTGCCCTTCAAAAATGTGAGCGTGTGCATGCGTGTGTGTGAGCACTATGCTAGGACTTGAGGCTCGTCCAACAGAGGGAGGCCAAGCAGCTGGCAAGGTGTCAGCTGCAAAGGGAAGTGATCTGAGCAGGAGGGAGGGTCAAACAGCTCAGGATCCTCAGAGGTATGCAAAATATGCTGCATTAACACAGTGAGGTGGAAACCGATACACTGCAAGGCAACGTGCACTTCATCAGTACAAAGTTCAAAAGTGCTTTGGGAAATTTCCCCACTCTGGCAATTTAAGGATCATACTGGTCATCAGCAAATTTTAATTAGAGACGGCTTTGTGTTTCCCGAACCTATTTTTGTTGATGATGAAAAAAAAAAAGTCTTTTTTCAAGCACATGAGGATTTGAGATATTTTTAAATTTTTGTTTTTAAGTTTTTTTCTAAGACCAATAAAAACTGGCACAAAATGGATTTTACCCATGCGTTGTAATTTATAGCAATGATGTTTTAGAAAAAAAATCCACCTGTTGCCAAACCTAACCCTTAATTCACAAAATATACATTACGGCCTTATTATGGTGATGATTATGATTATTATTATGAAAACTTGATGTGGTCGGGAAAAAAAAGTTGACTTGCATCTGATTAGAAACGTAATACAATTTTGTTGACCAGTGTTATTTTATCACAATCACATTTATAATTGACAAAATAAAACATACATTTTAGTAGTGATTCACGCTTCAAGACTACCTTGACAAATTCAAATATGGCTTTAGCTCACCAATTGTTCTTCTTCACAAAATGTACCGAATGTTCGGCAAGCCCCCCACCCCCAGCCCATCTTTAAAACTCATCTTAAAACTGATTTTTATTCTTTGGCTTTTGACTCAGCATGCGACTTGATTTTAAGTTTGACTGTTTTTGTGCTTTCTGCTGTCTTTTTGCTCCATGTCTCCAGTGGTGGTCGTTTTAGAGTGCTCCATAAATTGAGTTGAGTTGAGCGGAGCTGAACTGGTCTCTTTGGTTTGGCGATCTCAGACAACCACAGATACTACTGCCAGGTGTTGAGCAATCGGAAAAGTGAATTCCCGCTCAACTTTGGCTGGGGTGGGGGGGACGACAGCACCCACAAATGAGTCCACAAACTGTTTTTTGTTTGCTTTTATTGTGAGTGACATGGTCCAAAAAAAGGGGCCTGTGGTGCTCAATGAAAGTTGTCCCTCACTGGAACAAATGGCACTAAGTCACTTATCTCGTGTTGTTTTAAGGAAACCTTCAACATTCACCAATTCCACGGAAATGAAGTACCTTTCTAAATCACTGGGGTTATTTTAACCTCTGTTGATTTAAATAGATGTCACGGTTATTCAATAACACATTTGAAAACTATTGTGTGTAAGTGGTAGCTAATTAGAATTACAACGTGTTAAAATGGAGACTCGACAAAGGGTAGGACATTTTTTTGGGTCCGCTGAACCTGTTAGCTGAGTAAAAGAATCATTTCCGAAGTACAACAAAGTGTATTTCTCTCACCACTGGATGATTTCCGTGATCTGGGCCTCCCAGTGAGCAACGCTCTCCTTTTTGTCAGCCAGCTCTCTCATCTCTTCCTCAAGCTGCCGATTGGAGACGCTCACCTTTTCAAACATGCTTGTTAGCTGAGGACATAAAAGCACTTGAAGTCAGATGCATCATTTCCAACCTCCAATTTGTTTCAAAGCAAGAAAATCCAATAGACAAAAAGGACAACAAAGCCTACTTGAAGGTCATATTCACGTATGACAAATCAAACTTCAAACAATGCACATCCACTATTCAACAGGAGGCAAAGGCGCTGGGCCTTGAAATGACTGGTGTCATTGGACTTTGAGTAACGGAGAAGGTCGTCGACAGCTTTCTGATTGCATTAGCAGAGAAACACAAGTGATTTAACACCACGGTATATTGTTGAAGAATGATCCCGCTTCCTTTCATGTGTGTTGTGCAAGAGGATGTAACCATAGAGACACAACAAATCGCAAACTCTCCTATTGTTTCATCAAATGCCTCACTTAAGAGCACGTTTTATTGCCGTCAGGTCTGTGAGGTAATCTTCACACTAATACCGTTTAATGTCATACAGTTTGGCAGAAGCTGCTTTCCAGGCTAGGGAGCGGCCCTTCTGAGGACAGTCGAGGTAACGAAGCCATGTTAAGGTTTGGAAGGAGCTCTCAGCCATAAAGGTGAACACATTTCCGGGTTCGCGCAGTAAATGTGCTTTTACAGCTTGGCTGGAACATCCCCATGAAGACAAAAGTATGCAAAAATGGTTGCGAAGACCAGGTTGTCCTGACTATCTGGTACTTCTCTTTGACGCTTATAAATTTCAACTTTGTTTTGAACGACAGTAATCATTTTTTCTTTGCCAATTGTAACCTTAGCCATTCTTAGCAGATTTCCGTCCAGATGTCAAAAATCCTCCCGCATGGAAGGCGTTGAAAGTAGGAGCATTTTTGAACTCTTGAGAACCTTTTTCCAAATCGGCAGAATCCAGAGTGCCATTCCACTGCACAGCGTGGGAGGCTACGTGATGCTTTTATGTGGGCTACTGACCAGAGATTTCTTTGGCATAGGGAGTGAGGTGAAAGAATGTGATGAAAACATTCAGGCCAGCCCAGAAAGGTTACCTGAGGTTAGGGACTAATTTATTTATGCCAGACAGTGAGAGGAAATGGCTAAAGCGCAAGATAGACTTCAATTTATTATTATTATTATTATATAAGTCTTCCCCCCCCCAATCTGTTGCATTTCTGAAATAGACCTTACCTTATCCAATTCGCTGGACAGCTTTTTATTTTCTTCAGTAAGGAGAACTCTTTCCCTTTCACACTTTTGCTTGTAATCCGTCTCAAACTCCTCCCGCTCACATTGACTGTTGAGGAGAATAAACAGTGATCAACTCGTGACAACTGGACAAACCTTGGAGAATATCCTGATGGTGTGAAGGGAATTCAGAAATTTGCTTCGAAACACATTCTTTGAAGAGTTCAAGATAATTATTGAAAATGCGCAAAGGCGGAGATCTCTCTAATACTCAAGTGTAGCGATATTAAAATGTTTTTCACCATTTCAATTATCCAAATTTTTGGGGCACGGCTAAAACGGTGCCCAGTGACGCCACAATTTACAGAACAGCTCGGTGTCATTTAAATGAGCAAGTGTTACAAATTTTGACCCGTGGGATATATTCTAGTCATTGGAGGCTTGAAAGATCCTTTGTAGTGGTCCAAACATTTCTTCACTGTAGTACACTAAATCTGTGTGCATCGCTTACTTGGCACGCAATATTAACCAATTTAAAGTGGTGAGAGTAGCTATTTCCCCATCCTGTCAAAGAAAGCCTTTGGCATCATCATAAACTTTTTCTGTGGTGTCTCTAATTTAAGACTTCACTTTCCAGGGACCTTAACCTAATTCATAACTTAACATAAAATCCTACAAATTGGGAAGCCTTTCTGAGGGGCTAAAAGCGGCAAAACTGGTTCAGTTTTACTTGCTATGTGCCATAGTAGTGATTAAAAGCCTGGAAACAACTGAGCAACTGCCACATCAGGACACTGACCACCAACTGGACATCAACATGTTAAATTAACATGGCAGGTGAAGTCAATGAACATTTTACATCCATGGAGGATAGTTTTTGACCCACATTCTCTGACATTATGAACCCACTAAGAGGGATGGCCGTCGTGTCCTCTGGATCCAAGGTGAAAAGGACCATTCGGACTGTTACCAGTGCAAAGTTCACAAGCAAGCATCTGTGATGGTATAGGGGTATGATAGTGCCCTTGGAATGGGTCATTTGCACATCCCTGAAGGCGCCATTGTTGCTAACAGGTACTGGGAGAAACATGCCGCCAGTCTTTCCGCACGACAATGCCAAACCACATTCTGCATGTGACAACAGTGTGGCTTTGTCGTAAAACAGTACTAAACTGGCCTTTCAGCAGTCCAGACCTTTCTTTCATTGAAAATGAGTGGTGCATCACAAAGCACAAAATACAACGGAAAGAGACCCTGAAGGTGTATGTCAAGCAAGAATGGGAAAGAATTCCACCAACCAAGCTGTACAGTAACTACACACAGTAAACATGGATTGACCACAACAAACAAGAATCAAGAAGCCCTTGTCGTTCCTGCTTGATTATCGATATTGGCAACTGATACCGCAATCCCAAATTTCAGAATAACCTGAGCACATGGGAACAAAAATCAATCCGTGGAAGAAAAAAAGTCTCTCCAAAACAAGATTGTGTTTTAAGTTCTTCAAGTACGATCACCTGTCTCAAGAGATCTTACAATGACATAAATACTGGGGAGAAATAATTTTTTTTTCAAGATTTTTGATTACTGTACTGTGTACTTGCTCAGGCTCCGTGTTCATAGAGGTGAAGAATGGGACTCCCACAACTTGCAATTGTTGACAGTGGCGTCTCCGTCGGTGCAGATCAAAACGAGAGGCTGCTCGCTAAAGCCACGTACTGCACGCTCTTAGGTTGCGCCAATCTGAACGATGGGATTCACACTGGCTTCGGAGTCACTTGTACCAGTGAGCTCACCAGCCTCACACGGCGATTGCAGTGCGCTGTATGTCGTTTTTAAACCTGGGGGTCTGAGATTCGCCGTTCCATTTGAAGTATGTTTTAATTTGAAATGGGAGTGAATCACTGATGATCCTCATTCTGACAAATGGCTCGCAACAAACCAAAATGAGAACATCTATTATAAGAGACATGATGCAATAGCTGGACATTTCAAATCAATCTCCTCACAGATTTCACTCTCTCTTGCTTGCATGCGTGCGACTCGGTTGTTTGTGTGATGTACTCTATGCACGAATGATATACTGTGTCGACTTGACTCTGTGATTCGAAAAGTATAACACATTGAAATTAAATCAATGCATTTACTAGACACAGGATGTAAATAAGTATATGGAAAGATCACCGAGAGACAACATATACAGCGCTGAAAAACCAATACACCTTCACAGCATTCAAAATGCGGACATAACATGTTACAATGTCACTTAAATAGAGAGGTAATGAACGAAGGCAAAGAGAGTAACTACGAAAAATAAAAAGATGAAACACCTCTCTCTGCGAGTCTTCTCGAGCTTGTCTTTGAGCATGAGAATCTCTTTCTGCAGGCTGAGATGCTGGCTTTCGGCGTCACGCAGATCCTTGCGCAAAGTCTTCAACTCTGTGCCGTGTTGTTCATCTCGACGGGAGAGTTCCTCCTCGTGCAGGTGGGTCTTCTTCTCCAGGTCACCCCGCAGACGCCCCATCTCCTGGGATTGGTCGGACGGGGTGGCGAGAGAAAACGACCCAACTTGTTTTACCTGGAAAAGACGGAGTAACGAATAAGACAATGGAGTCCGAACAATCTGAGATGAGTTGGGAAACTGTGACAGTGACACAGCAGCTAACCAACTCGTCAACTACATGTTCACGTGGGCTGAAGCATTCTCGGAGCGACTCCAAGCTTTCAGAGCGGTATTGTGAGCTTTACGCATCCATTCACACTTCGGTCTATGGTCTGGATATCATCAAGTGGGCTCGAACATTATTTCCACACCATATTTGACTGCAAGGTATGCTCAAAATGAGAATCACACAAACAAAAGCCTGATGTGATGCATGCGAAAGCAGTGGAGAGTCCTGGCGCAAGATATTTTGCATTCCATACGAAAAATTTCGGCTATTGGGTGGGAGTGTATTGTTTTCAAAGGAATACAGCTTTTTCAATGTAGCCTACATCCTGATGCATCATGCCTTAACTTTGCAAATAATAGCCAAATAAACTTGTGAGGACAGGCTCCTTACCACTTGTATCACGCAATGGAAAATAGAAAACATGATCGGAGGGGCTGGGATTTTAAGGAATGATGGAACACAGCAAAAGTTGAATATGAAAAATGACAAGGGTTTGGTCTTGTGAGCATATGCCGTTTCAAGGGACGCGCAGATGTGTGATAGATGATGTTTATCGCTATTACCTTCAGCCTTTCCAGCTCCCCCTCCAGCTGCCGGGTGTACTGCTCATTACGTTCTTTCAGCTTCCTCTCTTTCAGCGCCTCGGCTATGCGCTCGTCCATCTGAGTCTCCATCTGTTGATATGGTTCAACATGAATTTCTGTCAATGGTTTTGAAAAGTACGATATTTCTGACACAATCTACACATGAATAAAATCAATCCAAAAAAAACCCCATCAAATACAAGGTATTGGGTTAGTACACAAAATCTACTTGTATCTTTTCAGAATTTAAAATGATTCTTAAATTGACTCAAATGAATTATGAGGGAATTGTGCACCAATCAGGGTAAAGGGAAGATGGGGAGGTGCTAGCAACCACACGAAGTCTACTCTACCTCTTTCCTGGCCTTCTCCGTCTTTCGCACCTCAAGGCGCAGAGCCTCAAATTTCTGATTTTGACTCTCCATTTCCTCCACCTTGTCACGCAGCTGTCGAGACAGTTGCTGCTTTTCCGATCTGTGGGTTTGGTCAGATTATGCAGTCAATTACATACCTAGATAGCATGTCATGTACAGAAGAAATGAAACTGATTTTTCTATTTTCACACACAGTCCTGCTGTATGTTGACACTTGACAATATGGACTTGAAAACGGCAGTAGCGTAATTTCCACTTCAAGAGCTGTGTCTTTTTCCGTTCCGTGGTTTCAATTAAAAATGGTGTCATGTCAAAGTCAGTTCAACCTGAGGCTATACCTGAGGTCTGAGAGGTCCTTGTTGAGTTCTGAAAACTCGTGCATGGCCAGTTTTCTCTGACCGTAAGCTTCTTTCAGATCCTTTGACTGTGACTTGACCTTCTCGTTGGCTTCCACAAGGTCCTAGCCACAAACAAGAAAGGTCAACAATATATCATGCAATTTATGGCAAGAAAGTTTCGTGCGGTTTGTTTGTTTGAACAATAAGGCTTACGTATCATGGAAAAGCACCATTCAACTCGCGTAATACCTTCATTAGGTCATCGTTGTCCCTCGTGAGACTTTTTATTTGTTTCTCTAACATCTTCACATGTTTGGATGAGTCCTCTAGTTCTCGACGAGCCATCGTCACATCTTCAAGCTGTTTTTCCAGTTGGCCTGAGTCTGTCATAAACACAGAGTCGTGAAGCTAATACTGGAAACTCATTAGACACCCTACTGGCTGTATTAGAGGATTAACTTTCTGTACAATTGACATTTGCAAGATTTAAATCGTTAAATCCTACCAGCGATTTGTTTCTTGAGAATGTCAATCTCGGTCTTTAGACTCCTGATCTCCACCTCCTTGTTGGCACTCAAAAGGCCTTCACCAGTTGGGCGCTGATGTGCTTGAACCGTCTGGGTCAGATCTGCAATGTCAATACATCCTTCAAAAGAGAGGTTTCCCGGTGCACGCTTCCCACTCCACCACCTCAACACTGACGAGGTGAAATAGAGAGTGGCGACTTCAATATTTCCACCCACACGCCGCAGTGGCGAATGGCCAATTTGCCTGTCAAATTTGGAACGGAGGAGCGTGGCTACTAATCCAAAAATATCCGTATGCAAAAATAAAATAAAAAAATGTAAAAACATGTCCGTTGGCAAATTGCAAACAGTCATCCCACAATCCTCCACGCGGCCAGTGATGCACATAATTGGTGACAGTATAATCACAACATCGCTCCAAGCCCATGACGCATTGTTTATATCTGCTGGTGGCGGCGAGCATGCAAGCCTTAGTGAGTTCGCACTTCTGTTGCGATCCTTGAGTGGATGGAAACACAAATGTTGGGAACTTCCCTGGCTTTGAAACAATGAGGCGTATACTGCATTCTGCAGTTGAATGTAATAATGCAGTAAACACGTAAGATCATTATTGTTATAGGTATTGGAATCAAATTGCATGTGACAAACAGAGGAGTCCCGTCCTGTACGCAGACAATATTATCACATTCTGGAACAGTATCCTAAATATAAGAAATATCAATCATTCAACTTGGCAGTGTTTATCCAACTTTTTTTACAGCAAGTAGTGCCTAAAAAATGTCAATCTCCAAGTACCTCCATCGAGCCAACATCATAAATGTTAGTGGTATTGTAAGTGTTGAAAATGTGCGAAGAAAGATCAATTTAGGACTGAAATGCTGAGATATGGCGTTGCGCTCGAATGCGGCTACACCTTTTTAGCGACATGGGCTAAAAGTTTTCATGACCCAGCGCCAACCCTGGATCCTTTTGCTCAAATGTCTGTAACAAGTGAACACTAATTAACACTCAGCTCCTTTTTTTTGACATGTTTTAGTCGTAGTGTGACCTCCACCCTCACCTTGAACTTTGCGGTTCAGCTCCAGTTTCTCCTGTTCTAGGCGGTGGATCCTCCTTTCGTAGGCCTCTACGGCTAGGCTGTCCTCCAAGCTGCGCTGGACATCTGTGTCAAGTTTGTCCTGACCCGCCTTGCCTGCCGCACCTGACAGCTGCCGCAGGCAGCCCCGATCAGAGATGGTGCTAAAGAGGAGGAAAATAGTGAACAATGGGACAAATGAGCATTTTTTTTTTTTTTTGTGCAGCACGGTCAAACACACAACAGAATGTATGTGTATGATGCCTATAAATATTTTATATTTTCTATGTGTGAAAAGTGGCAGATCTTGGCCATCACTTTAACGTAAGACTCTTCAAATAATGCAGCCAAAAATCTACCAAAAATCCAAATCGCGCTTCACAGTAAAATTCTGTAAAGCCATCCAAGTTATCGGGAACAAGGAAATCGCAGGCACTAAAAGAATTCTCTGTGACTCAACAGTCTGACTTTCTCAAGATAGTCAGAGGGTGTGGTTATTTTTTTAAGATGTGGGATTAAAGCACTTTGGTTGGCGCCCTTCCACCTCTGGTGAGAACGACAAATAGTCTCTGCCTTGAGTTGGTGAAACGATAAACGGTAAACTGAATGGTACATTAATATATAAATAAAGCATGAATTGACTCGGTTCACAGACACGGTGGGTGTTAAATACAACGTCTGCTGGACTTGATTTTTTGCAGGGGGGAGATTAAGCCAGACACCGTCATCCTTACGAGTAAAGTCAGAGTCATGTGACAAGATGAAAGTGGAATGGCGAGCTGGTAAAAGTGACATTATGCAAAACTGTTGGCATCGAAAGAGCAATTAAAAGAGTGACGGGAGAAGTGGAAGTAGAGAAAGAGTGGCAAACACCATTTATCACTGAACCTTGAAGAGGTAAGCGTGGCTTTCCCACGAATAGGACGTCAGTGAGACTGTGAACATCACTTTGTTAGAGTAGAAGGTTTTCTTCCGCCACTTCTTACACTTTTTGCGTTTTCAATAAAACGATTTTATTTGTTGACTTACCATTTACTGGTGTAGGTGAAACCAACAAAGGGCAAGTGGTGACCAGAAAAGGCAGTGTGAGAGGGAGGAGGCATGGTCTCCTGTGTAAAAGACAAACAAAAAACCAATGACTTCATCGGGCTGCCACAAAAGATTATTTTGATAGTTGACGAGTCAAAAAAATAGATCATGGTTGACTTTTAGAGTGATATCTAGCCATTTTAATTGTGACTCATCGGCTCATCTTGCCAGCTCTACAATGTAATACAATGTATTACAGAAGGCTCATGGGCTCATCAAGTGACAGTTTCTTTGCCTTTTGACCACACGCGCACACTTACGGCGTTCTTGAGAGAGTCGTCATCCACATCAAAGTTGGAGGTATCGGTGGGACTGCTGACCTCAGGGATGTAAGGGGCCTCACACAAGCGGATATTGTCCCAGTCAATGCCTGCATAGTAAGGAGATCACAGGTAAAGCAAGAAACTTTGGCATCATGGAGACATGTGGCAAATAGATTGTACCGGTGAAAAATGGATGCTGCTTGAAATCCTCAATCCCATTCTGTCCTATTCGGTACCCTCGACAGCAAATGAGCCGACGTATGAGATCCTTTGCCTCCTCTGAAACTAAATCTGTTATCTGTTGTGGGAATTGGAATCGCTCCTGGGTGGGGGGGAAACAACAACAAACATACATGGGGTTTGTGGCAAAAGCAGCACAGTCGAGATGAATTGAAGGCTTTATGTTAACATTCAAATCACAAAGTGGTGTTTTGTTAAAACAGCTCACCTTATGGTTCATGATTTTGCCATACGTTTCCACGAGGGACTCGGCATAGAAGGGGGTCTCTCCATAAAGCATTTCATACATACAGACGCCCAGGGACCACCAATCGCACTCAGGTCCATACTTGCCCTTCCCATCCTCCATGGCTTGGAGGATTTCTGGAGAGATATAGTCCGGTGTCCCCACGGCCACGGAGGACTGGACCTGGAATGAGCAACACAAATCCAACATAAAGAGGAACCAGAAGCTTCATACACTGTTAACTCTAATCACAATAACAGCAGTTAGTCTCTTGAAAAAGATGACAAAAGCTAAAAATGATTCATTGCCATTACTTCCATGTCAGTGACTGATTTCATTGTCAGCGTTTCGCCTCAAAAAAGCCAAACATTGATGATGAAAACGTAAAATAAACGGGTCAATATTTTGCTTTCCTATGAAACGGAATTAATATTTATTTGTCTATCCACAGTTGATGGGAGCTGTGTGTGTGTGTGTGTGTGTGTGTGTGTGTGTGTGTGTGTGTGTGTGTGTGTGTGTGTGTGTGTGTGTGTGTGTGTTTGTGTGTGAGAGAGAGAGCTGGTATTCCAGTTGTAAACGTTTGGAGTACATTCCATGATTTCAATAAGAACAACAGCTGCAGCAGCAGCAGTCTAAATGCATACCGTGCCATCCTCCATGAGTTTGAGGCAGGAGCCGAAGTCAGCCAAACGGATATGGCCGTTCCTATCCAACAGGATGTTGTCGGGCTTTATATCCCTGAAGGAAGATTGGGAGAGCAAATGGTCAAATGATGAGGAAATTAAGAGTGGGAAATGTCTTTTTCAAAATTGAACTTTGATAAGAGTAACGCAAGCTCCAAGCTCCAAGAATTCTGTTAAAAAAGAAGTTCCACACAAGTCGCTCAGTTTTAACATCCTGTCAACATGCATCTTTTTTGCAACCCTAAAACTGATGACAGGTTTCTAAGATTGTACTAATTTAGTCATGCTTTTATGCACATGACAAATCAAGGAGTCATCCATCCGGATGCACAGCTTGTTCAATTTTAGTCCAGTGCCGACAACTACAACGCATGACTCGCAGCGAGTGTTACTTGGGGGAGTCCGGGTACAATTAGTCATTTAGCCGTTTTCCATGATGGGGCGCCCTCCAGTCAAGCTCCGTACTATACTGTGCCGTAAAAATCGATATTATCCAGCTCCCGGAACTCACTGCTTTGAATAGTGCATAGTTAAATATAGGGCTCGTCAATGTCTGACCATTCCACAGATTTCCTCAGAGGGTTGTGGCAGACGTGTGTGTGGGCGTGTTTGTGCGCGCGTGCCTCTATTAATATGCTGAACTGTGACCAAGCCCAATACACATGGTCTGGAGGAAAAGCGAGAGGTTCTGCACAAATATACATGTTTTTTTCACAATCATTAATTTTACATGTTGCCAAAGTCAGAAGTCACCAAAAATTGTTCTTTTGTCCACTTCTGTCATCATCATGTGATTGGAGGTGCTGACCACCACAGTGGTTCAAATGCTCATTGTCATTTTTACTCCTCCACTTCATCTTTTCTTCATCAGACTTAACCTGCCTGATGTCAGGAGCTCACCAGCACAAACGCCGCCAGCGATGCATGCACGCACATGCAGATGCACACAGCACACCCTTGCTTCCACACATTGTAAGGCCCGCAGCGGAGGGGGCGAAGCTAATACGTGGCTAGTTAGTCCAGTTAATTGGGCAAGTGTGTCACAAGACTCCCGTGGTCTTAAAGAGCAGCATTGAGACTAGAATAGAGGGAGGTAAGCTCTTCTAATACACACCATCCATCTGGGAGGGCCATCTGGTTGCAGCCTGACAATAAACATGCACGCCTGCGCTTGAGCACACACACACGAGCACCCCCCCCCCCACACACACACACACACAGGAAGCTGCACAGACAAGGATGTTCACATGGATCTAGACAAGCAATTGTTCTGACTGTGTGACCTCTGGTACCGCTTGACACAAAGAGAGGAACACTGAAACCAGCATTGCATTTGACAGGACCCAATCTTTCTATAGCATCGTGTTGACAATGATTCCGAATATTTATTTTAAACAGTTACTGTTCTATCGAACATAACGCTCAGAGGCATGTTACCCAAAGGCTAGCTAACATATTCAGGTTGCTATGCATATTCAGATGCCCCAAATATTATTTTTTCAAATAGTCATTAAATATTGAAAAGCATAAGCATGAATTTGTGAACAACTGCAATCCTGCAAACAGTCTTTGGAGTCGAGTTGTTAATGGTTGTGCATCATTTTAATAAGACTGTTTGCTTATTCCTAAGAGAGAAAAAGCAGGGAATCAATTAGGATCAACGGCAAAAAAAAATTAAAATAGTGCCTTTAAAATATTAACAAGACCAATCAGAGAGAAATAAAGTCATTCTCTCGTACTTCAGCGAGCCACGAAGAGACACATGGTCCTGATCAATAATAAAACAATCTATCATCTTACACACACATGCAAACCTCCGCAGTGGTCAGATTCCACTGACAAAGGATTACGATGACCCAGGACATGGCACATTTCACAAGTGACGGACTGGAATGGTAGCCAACATTGTCATCGGCACAGACCGCCCTCTATCTGTCCACACAAGGAAGCCCCTCCTCAGTAGCAGCCCCCCCCACATCTCTTCTCATTCTGGCAGAATAGGCCTTTTGCTCGCCGCCGCACAGACCCACACGAGACAGATGTGGTGCTAGGCAGCACTAAGCCACGGTGAGTTCAGCTATTGCGACATTTGTCAGGCCCCTTCGTGAGGCCAAGCGGGTCACTGATCACTGAATACACACGCGCGCATGTGCACACACTCTTCATTTGAATCACCCGCATATAGTCGGTCTCTCATGGGAGCTGACTGGCGGTGTGGTGTTCTTCCATCCGAGCTTTATTTTGTCTCAGTCATGGTGTCGGTCTAATGTTTTTATGCTAACATCCCGGCGACAAAAGACTCATTTGGTGTACAAATATCATCACTTAGGGTCACTGCATTATTGACCTTCGTTCTATCTATGAATCATTTTAAGCCCACACGAAGAGTATTTTAGGTCTTAAATAAGGCTTCAAGATGGTTTCCTGCAAAACAAAGAACGGGACCATTAATGGTCCCAGGAGACTGTGAAATCATCCACTTCATTTGTGATTACCCAGGGGAACACCGTCAGAATATCATTGATCTACCCATGGTACCACAACCTTCACAAGTGCAAATAGAAACTTAGTAAAGTCTGTTTGGTGGATGAAGAGAAGGAATGGTTTACTAATTAATGACCACCAAGGGCTTCTAATTTATAGGGTGAGTGGGTTGTCCTTTTCTTCAGTCATGCGAGTCGGAAACAAGCTGTACGTCAGATGTAGACACACCACAACACCAAGAGGAAAACACACACCCTCACATTCGTGCTGCCAAACACACCCAGCCCCCCCCCCCCCACACACACACAGGCTAGCTCCCATGCATGCACCCACGCACACATGTACACACTTTCTCAAATGGGATCAGCCAGCAAAACACACCCTCCGCAAGAGATGTTTTTGCTGACTCCACCCTCAGCAAAAAAGAAAGAAACTTAAAAACTGTGTCGTTCTCGCACGAACGCATGGACATAAAATACAGAGAGGAGGGGAGGGGCTGAGGGCAAGTCCATAGGGCGCCGTATCAACGCCGCACCCACACACCTCTCATTCCCCATGATTGCTGTCCCAAGCAGTCCACAAGGGGACTTCAATGGAAACAGTGTCATCCCCCTTCATGCCCCTTTTCCTCTCCTTCCACTCTTCCGTGTCTACCACTCCTACCAGCCCCCACACAGCAGCCTAGAGATTACAACATACAATTAGCGGCTCCCGTCCACTTTCTTTATCCTCACATTTGCATCTACATTTTAACGTAGGCATCTTTCCATGAAATGTCTGGTTCGGCCCTAGCCGAAACATGATGACATCAACCTTGAACTTACATCCGCAGTTGATTTTCTTGACACCCATTTGACATCAGACTAATTCTCAATATGTGGTGTGCCATTTGACAGTACAGTGGAACTTCACTTACTCGTTTCTCAATTGAGACTTTTTTCCAGATAATTAGCTTTTTTTAAGGGTACTGGAACTAATTAATGGCATTGCCATTCGTTTCAATTAAAAAAGGATTTGAGATAGTAGCTATCTAAGTTACGAGTGTGGTGAAACAAATTTAACTCACTTTTATCCAGTAAAGGTAGATGACGTGACAAGTGAAGCTATTAGAAAGACCAGTAAAAAATGTAGAACAGAATATACCCAATCTACCTCTGAAATGTAGTGTTTTACAATTTTTTTTAAATGACATGTTGGTGCACTGTGCTATTTTCCGCAATAACAAATGATGGCAACCCCAAACAACAGGATAATACAATCAGCTTCTCATGTAGGTTTCAAATCTGTCAGATGATAAGCGTGTCAAATTCCTGATGTGTGGGCACAGACTTGGAAGCGGGTGTTGGACTGGAGCATTCCACTTGCTGTTACTGGGGAACAAGCATTGCGTGAATAGCTCAATGAAACACTTGAAATTGTCTCCTATCAAATGTCCCATGCAGCTGTCAGTCACTAAAGGGCAGAAGAGGCCAAAACGAGGCTCGCGATCCCCCATGGCAAGTCTCAACTCAGTAATAAGAGATTTTCCTGAGTATTTTTAAAGACAAGATAATTGCGTCATGTCCTTCATTTTAAGGCTTTCTCGCATAGTAGTGCAGATGTTTGTTGGTTTGTTTGTCAGCCAGTTGGACACAAATGTTGGTTGCCCGCCAGCACGGTTGTGGCAAAGCACAGAGAGGATCATAGGACTTGTTTTCACATTTCTTCTCCGAAAGGATTTGCTTTTATGGGGTGACTCGGACACCCGCTTTTTGCAATGTCAGACTTCCTTGTTGTTGTCGTATTCGAGTGTTTCACACTTAAAACCGGAACATATAAACTCACTCTCTGCTAATATTGGCTAGGATGATAGCGAACTTGGCAAACACACAGAAAACGTTAAAACAAAAAGTCCTTTCCAAGTCATTGTGTGCATTGTACGTTCTGTACTCCAGTGGGCTTCCATGCTTTCAAAGTGGTTTACCCCCTCCAATGGTTTCAGTTTCAGCAGCGTAAATGTTTTATTTTTAATATGCTGTACACAATTTTATACATTATTACACATGCACCTGAAAACGCGGAGGGAAGATTTTGACATTAAGTGTCAATAGACTTCTGTCGCGCCTGTGCTGTCGTTACATTTGAGGAGAGACTTCCAACTTTTTGCACACACTTGAGGCACAACGGCTAAATTGCGGCGCGAAGCTTCCACCTGGTGATTTCAGCGAGGCAATCGTGTTGTTGCCACATTGGCTATTTATTGTCATCAAGGTGTAACAGTCATTGTGGAGTGGTAAAAATCGATGCATAAACTCGTCGGTTTGACCCCGAAAGAGGAAATTTAGCTTCTGTATTTGTTCCCATACTATACCAAAAACTAACCAAACCATGACATCAAAGATCTTCTGTTTGTTTGGCAATTGAAAACAAAGTGTTTAATTTTTGGAACACAGTAGCGGCGGCGACGGCAGCAGCCGGCAGCGATGCATTCCGGCTGCAACATGTTTTGGTTTGTCCTCTGCGCGGTTTAAAAGCCAAACCTTCTACCCCCTTTGGAGAGTTGGAACACTTGGTGTTGTCTCCCTGACTTTGATTCTCAGCACAAATAATTACTCCAGTTGGCTAGGTTCACCACTGGTGATGAATATATTTTTTTTTATTCCGCCCAATTTAGTACTGAAAGAAAATGGTCATCCAACTTGGGTCACGCATGCAGTCATGCACATTTGGTAAATTTGGGCAAGAAAACACCAATGGGATCGACTGTTGAATTAGTCTTGGAAATTCAGAGAAAACTCATCTAAAGGATGCTGACAATGGGAGAGCTGTCTGTAAGTGCTCCTTATTATCATTGCTAAAACCAGGGCAAATCATAATCAGCAAAGCAAGCAGTCAAAGAACTTTTTTTTTTCTAAATGTAAATGACAAATGGCAGTAAACTTAATGCACTTACATGCCACATTTGTACCCACGCTGCTTCAAAAGTGATCCTAAGTGATCCTGGCACGTTCCCGGTGCAAAATGATGAGTCAGAAGAGTCGGCATATCAAACTCCCCCCCCCGTGAGTGTTTCATGTTCGCATACAAACATTTGACCTCAAATCTTTTGCTGTGTTTCTTGAATCATCAACCCAAAGCTGAAACGTTTTATGATCTTTGACGATTAATTTGAGGAACACAGCAGCTGCTGGAGTCAGATTGTTTCATCTGTGGGGGAATTCTGACATTCAATGGGCAAAAATATGTCTTTATTCTCATCACATAAAAAAAAAATTAAATCTGATGTTTTTTTTCTTTTCAGTGTAGGCACGAAGAACCTTTCATGGTGCAGGGTCTAATTTCTCATTGCTTGCTGACAGGGCACCAAACTTTTTTTTTTTTCACCTGTACTTGCATGTGTTATTACAAGCGACAAAAAGAATGAAAACATTCTTGTATATTAGTTGGAGGCACACAGGGTTTCATCGGAGTGAGACACAATGCACTTGGCTCCTCACCTGTGAACGTAGTGAAGCTGGTGAATTGAGTCGATAGCAAGCACCATTTCAGCCAGGTAGAATCTAGCCATTTCCTCGGGCAGTCGGTCCTCGAATTTACTGAGCAATGTAAGCAGGTCACCTCCCACATAGTAGTCCATGACCAGGTACTAAAACAACAATTAGAGGTTTGTCTTAATTGCAGTTACAGAGGACTCGGATGGGGAAAAAAGGCGTGTGCAGTGTGGTGGGGGAAAAGCATAACATCCGAACATTGTGGGGGACAGTATGTTTTGCAGGAGCCCAAGCATAAAGCCACTCAAGTGAGAAAACTCCCTCCCTTTTCACCTATTACTGACCAGAGGATGTGAGGGCTGAAAAATAGGCATACCATTTTTTCCCCCTATAATTAGATCACTGGAAGCGCAGTAATGTCTAGTCTTAAGAATCTGTGGGAGTGTCTCGGGTAAAGTATTTGTTGTGAGAGTGTGGGAAATGGAATGACAAGCAGTCCCGGCATTTGAACTCTGGATCAAAGAGAGAAGACAGACGGTCAGGTTTAACGGCGAATGGTGGCTTTGGTGTCAAAACGCAAGGCTTGAGAGTCGAATGCTTTTGGATGAATGTGACATTCACGTTAATTGGCGCATTCATGTTAATTGCCGCGTATGTTGCCCGATTTCCTACAACTGTACTTGACATACAAACATTTGACCTCAAATCTTTTGCTGTGTTTCTTGAATCATCAACCCAAAGCTGAAACGTTTTATGATCTTTGACGATTAATTTGAGGAACACAGCAGCTGCTGGAGTCAGATTGTTTCATCTGTGGGGGAATTCTGACATTCAATGGGCAAAAATATGTCTTTATTCTCATCACATAAAAAAAAAATTAAATCTGATGTTTTTTTTCTTTTCAGTGTAGGCACGAAGAACCTTTCATGGTGCAGGGTCTAATTTCTCATTGCTTGCTGACAGGGCACCAAACTTTTTTTTTTTTCACCTGTACTTGCATGTGTTATTACAAGCGACAAAAAGAATGAAAACATTCTTGTATATTAGTTGGAGGCACACAGGGTTTCATCGGAGTGAGACACAATGCACTTGGCTCCTCACCTGTGAACGTAGTGAAGCTGGTGAATTGAGTCGATAGCAAGCACCATTTCAGCCAGGTAGAATCTAGCCATTTCCTCGGGCAGTCGGTCCTCGAATTTACTGAGCAATGTAAGCAGGTCACCTCCCACATAGTAGTCCATGACCAGGTACTAAAACAACAATTAGAGGTTTGTCTTAATTGCAGTTACAGAGGACTCGGATGGGGAAAAAAGGCGTGTGCAGTGTGGTGGGGGAAAAGCATAACATCCGAACATTGTGGGGGACAGTATGTTTTGCAGGAGCCCAAGCATAAAGCCACTCAAGTGAGAAAACTCCCTCCCTTTTCACCTATTACTGACCAGAGGATGTGAGGGCTGAAAAATAGGCATACCATTTTTTCCCCCTATAATTAGATCACTGGAAGCGCAGTAATGTCTAGTCTTAAGAATCTGTGGGAGTGTCTCGGGTAAAGTATTTGTTGTGAGAGTGTGGGAAATGGAATGACAAGCAGTCCCGGCATTTGAACTCTGGATCAAAGAGAGAAGACAGACGGTCAGGTTTAACGGCGAATGGTGGCTTTGGTGTCAAAACGCAAGGCTTGAGAGTCGAATGCTTTTGGATGAATGTGACATTCACGTTAATTGGCGCATTCATGTTAATTGCCGCGTATGTTGCCCGATTTCCTACAACTGTACTTGATGGATCATGTTGTGCTTTGCTGTCGTGAAGAAATGTGCAAGTCAGCGGCTGGCATGTCATCTGCCGCACTGAGGGAATAGTATTGTGCTCTCAACATGGGTTTCCTGGGTGAACTAGTGAAAGTGGTTGATCGGGCCACTCGATGCAAAAAAGAGAAGAAAAAGAGTGAAGACTGGAACGATGAGTTGGAGCTTGAAACGTGTCAAGATAAGAAGCTCGTGTTGTGGCCTACCAAATTGTTGTCATCCTGGAAGGCGTAGTGGAGGGTGGTAATCCACTGGGAGTCCCCGTTGACCAAAACGTCTCGCTCCTCTCGAAAGCATGCCGTCTGAAGAAACACAAAATAGATTTTGCAATTTATAAAAGGTGTCACACAAAACACCAAAACGTTGAACACCATTTGCCGGTCAACTGTTAAGATCATGACGTGAAGACAATAAAACAGTCTTCACTTAATCTGAAACAGTGATTTGACCGTTATGCCTCACGATGGTGTCGGTATAAAACAAGTTGATCACAATTAAATATGACCACCATGGCCTTGTGATTTATGCCACGGTATAACGGCACAGTGAGTGCTGCGGACGAATGTTTGTACATTAGCATTGGAACGAGACCATGTACGACTCCCGTGTGTCATTTTTCGCACACCGGTAACATATTTCCGTTTGTAGTATGTGACGCATGAGCCGTGATGACTCACAGGACACGGAGGAAAGCTATAAATGTATGGAAGAAGTTAATGAGAAAAGCACGCAGGTTGTAGTGTCGCGGAAACGTGCCAGCGTCTATTGCGTGAGTGCCTGATCTCATCGTGGGGGGAAAGAATCCATGTTCCCTCATTATGAACAAACCCGCTGTTGCTCCTGTGGAAACTGGCGACTTGACACTTACCTCAGCTCGCTTCAGCATCTCCCATTTGTTCAGAATCTTCATGGCGAATACTTTGTCTGTATTTCTCACCTTCACGACTGCGACCTGTACATGGGAGGAAAAGTGATGGTGAATACAAAGTTTCTCAGAACTGGAAATTCAGACAGACACCTGATAAGGAAATATATGTTGCCCTATGTGCCCCTCCCCCATCCCCTTTCAACACTAACGAAAAATCTCCGGCATTTAAGTTATCCATTCCTCCTTTGGGGGTATGACAAAAAGATATGGGTTCTAATTTCAAAGTTCAGTTTGCACCTATCTGAGGCATAAATATAGTGGGCATTAAGTGGATCAATCAAACAGTGAAAGAGAAAGTACAATTTAGGAGACTTGAAATAGGATTAGGTTCGTGCCACCCAAAGTAAAAGTAAGCAGCCACTTAATCCCGAATCTCTTTTTTCACAAACACGATGTAATAGTCCGAAATTGACAAAGTGGGAGAAATGAGAGTCGATGCAACATCGTGGGGAAAGGCTGGCAAAGCTCAAGAATTGTGGGCGGGAAACACAGCTCGATACTTTAAATATGATTCATAATTCCAAGGAAAGCCTTGTCTACGGACATGAAACTGCAAACCAAGTTTGGGAATGGGAACATTTGCACAGATGCAATATTTGGACTAACCACAGTTGACATGCGCACAATGGAAAAAAATAACTGGGGGTAGAAATATTATATATTTATATATATATACATATGCGCCTCTAACCGTGTATGGCAGAAAGGAACCCAAGAGTAAGCAGAGAAGAATTTGTGACATACACTCACACAGACACAAACAGAAGCCCATGCAACAGGGTCTGTAGTCTATTAAATGAGCTGGGGAATGTTGCTAATGCAATACAACGATAACATTCCTGCAGTGTTTGGATCCCCCCGCAGAGGAAGGGAGGAAGAAGAGAGCGGGACAGGGGGAGAGCGCACTGTTCTTGGCAACGCCTTGGTGTTTTTGTCTTCTCTTGTCACTTTACTTGCTTCTTGTTCTCCACCCCTGGCATCCATTATCCGGTCGTCCCTTTTCCGTAATCATTCCTTATACTTGAGAGCAGTTTGTTGACTGAACGAGCTGAGTGATATGCAGGTAGTCAGTAAATGTAATCAAATGCGTGTTTGGGTTGATGTACATGAATGAAAATCTCCTCAGGCTCTGTCGGTGGTGTACTCCTTTGGGTTGTCAAAGAGGGGGAAAAAAGTATTTCGATCGGATGACTAAATGGTGCAATGGTTGGCATAATCGCATGGTTTCTTAAAAGTAAGTTGGCCCTAGCACTGCTGACAAGGATGTTATCACAAGGTCGCACCTTGTCACAAGTCCCATTCTAAACCTCAACACAATGCTGAAAAATACACACACAGGAAACACATGACTCATGCGTGCACATTCCAGCACTGGCTGCAGAGGCTTAAGTAAAGACATTAGTGAATGGCATTGGAATTGTAGCTACGAGCTGATCGATGTGTCGCCATCCATCAATCGAAAGCTTTATTTGCTATTTTCCCAACTTTTCCATTTTTATGTAAAGCTATTTTTTTTCCAAGCAGGCTCTCTTAAAAATATGGGTGACCGGGCAATGGTCAAGATTCAAATGCTGCAAGCTGGTTTTTCACGCCGGCACACAATTTATTGGCACACTTACTTGTGTTTCGGACTAAATGAATGCCCACTGCTGTTCCGCCTTATCACCTGTTATTTACAGTTTGCGGTACTGAACAAATTCCTAATTGTCCTTGAGCTGAAAAGATGTAAGAAACTGTGCTTGGAAGGAACTCGCTGACTTAGCTGCACAGATGTGTTGAAAGAAATCATTCCGAGGATAAAATGGAGGGAAATACCAGGTCAATCTTGAATGCATCAATAAAATAAATTCTCAATGTGAGTAAGTGTCAATCAGTTTGGAGCTGTCTTTGGCTGAAAATTGTTTTGCTGCAAGAATATTGGCTGAGGGCTGCGCTACCTGTCCTTACAGCATTCCCCTGCTTTGACAGTCACCTGAAACCCATTATCAAGTATCTTCCAACCTCCTGATATGCAGACACACAAGGCGGAACAAAATGAACCAAGTGGTATTTAGCGCTTAGTTTCACTGGTACTTCAATCTTGACAAGTGGCAAACGTGACATTTCTAGGAATGTTCTAAATTTGATGATGCACATTTCAATGTGCATTGGCCCATCTCAGAACTTGTTTTATCATGTTTGGGTCTTTTTTTGTACTTTTTAGTATACGGCTAGCAAATACAGACACTATAAGCATTACATTTATGCTAATTGAATGTTACCTTCAAACACAATACAAATCAACGTGCGGAGCGCTTTATAAAAATATTATTTCTGGTAATTAACTGAGGAAGTGAATGTTAACAATTTGGTTGAATGGCCCCCATAAGCATGGCCATAGAATGTGGGATTCCTCTTGACTTATCTAACATTGCTATTCATCGGCTGGCATGCGCTAAAAGGAAAGAGCTGCTTCGAACTCACCCGTGACACCTGTTTCTTCAACAAAAGGGAAGGGGGGGGGGGGGAACTGCAGGATGTGAAAGGGTAGTGTGGGAGACTGTTGCGAGCTAGCATTGAGGGCAGGAAAACAGAAGCAACGTTACCTCTCCAAAAGCTCCTCGGCCAATCACTTTGAGGATTTCAAAGTCTTCTTTGTGCAGCCGCATCTGCTTCACTTTGGCTGTGAAGGGTTTTGCTTTAAGGGAGAAAAGAGAACAGAGGTCAAAACTTCACGTCACTTTAGTTCTTTGACTCTCACGTGCAGCAAAAATCGCAAGTTCAGAGTTGTAACAGAAAATGTGCCATTCATTGACTTCGTGGATATTGTATTCGCGTTTACACAGCGGAAAGTCATCCAGCAATTACATGTCTGACATCGGTGCCAGCATTTCATGCGACTGCATTACTAATATTTCCTGGATTGACTTTGCAGAATATACATCAAAATACAAAAAGTTTGCTCTTTGGCAGATGCTTCACTTCTCCAACCTGTGTCATTTTATTCATTCTAGTAGCAAAAGTAATACGACCCCTGCAAAGTGTAAATAAAGCACACCATTTCGGGCCCTCGAGGTAACCTATATTGGCATGGGTCATTGGGGACAGACAGCCGTATCAATAAATGCTAAAAGACCACATCAATTATTCAGCACCGAGCACGCAGGTTATCCATGTTTATTGCCTCATTCCCATCATCGGGAAGGTCATGAAGACAAATTGAAATTCCAGCCCGAACCTTTGACGCTGCCGCGGCTCCCTTGGTCCGCCATCATCCCGATCCCCAAGCCGTATTCTTACTGAGGGGTTATTAGGAAGACGGTTAGGCCATCACATTTCACGCAAGAGCTTCTTTATCTCAAAGTGATTTGACAAGGTAGAGCTTGAGCAATGGGTGGAATACAAGTTTTCAGTTCTGGTCTAATTCTTCATGAAAAAGGAACGTTGGGGCACAGAGGAAGATGTGATTAGTCGCCGCCTGCTGAGTCAGGTTCTCCACCAAAAGAGACAGCTTTCATCTCTGAACCCACAGGAGGTCGAGACCACAACAAAGCAGGCATGCAAAAACGTGCACATCCACCAAAGGACATCGATCTCCTTCCTCACATTAAAACCAAAGGAGAGCTGAGGTGTTGTCGCTCTGATTTTCATAGCCAGACCAATTTTAAATTGCTTGAGAATTAAAAGTAAAAATAACTACATCATCTGAACAGAGAGTGGTTGACGGAAACACACGGGCCAAAAACAACCTGTTTTACCGGCGTGCAGTATATTATTGGAATTCGTCTTATGGGTGTGAGCGAGTCGGTAAGGTCATACACACTCGCTGCCTGCATTCAATAAGCAATGAACTAACCCACATTTGCGTGGCAATCAATGTGTCTGCTTTCCAACCACTGAACTGAATATGCGGTGCTCCTCTTTTTTTTTTTGTTTTTTTTAACCACAAGACAAGCAAATGCCATCCAGTTTTGTCATCCATCTTAACTCGCTGGCAAAATACACAGGTAGTCCCAAACATAGCAACGGTTGCTCAGACAAGGTGTGGCAAGCAACGCTGGCAATGATTGGGAAAGTGTCAATCCAAGCTCGCTCTGAGCAGGACTGAAGCTCTTTGTTTGCAAGAGCTTTAGCAATGACTACACAGCTGGTGAGTCAAGATTGGAAAAAGATGACATGTCAGTCACAAGTAGTTTCATGCTTTGCAGTCGACATGGGAGAGACCGCTCCATGTAATGAGCGCGCTGCATGTGTGGGGCTATTTACAATGCACACCGCGAAAAATACATAGGCATGTTGGGCCTCAGGAGCCAGTGAAACTGGAAAAACGTGAGTGACGCCAAACTTCTCCATGTAGCCGAGTAGGAGTGCTGTAAACTAAAAATGGCGAACATTTGTGTAGCGCAGGGGTGCCCAATACGTCGACTGAGATTGACCGGTACCTCGCGGACTGGTCCCAAGTCGATCGCAAGGGGTATGGGGGGGGCATTTGTGTGTCTGTGTGCGTGTTATTAATATGATATATTTTTGTATTAGTGCACACTGCATCGTTAGCATCCTATCAGTCTCACTTTCACAAAAAGTATTTAAAAAAAAAAATCACATTAAAAAGCAGATCACCTTTAACCTACGGGGGCGCGTGACCTGCATCAACCGGAAGTTGGAAGCAATCAGCAGTCTGGAATTGCATCTTGCGATCAGAGCTGTACACGTGAGCTACGATCGTTAACACGCTGCAAAAGTACGTCAAGTCTCTACTAAGGGAGGCAGTGATTTGCGTTTCACAAACTTTTGTGTCTATTTTTCAGTTTCGTTCATCTCAGGGGCCGTTATGGCGATTGTTCATCAGAGCATGCGTGTGTAAGTGCGTGCATATGCCCGCGTGTGCGGTAACGGGTTGATCGCGGGAGGTTGGGTGATCGAAAAGTAGACCTTTGGTCAAAAAGAATTGGGCACCCCTGGTCATCTATCCTTATCGCAGCAAGGGCCATTTTGGTGCAGTTTCAGGCCAGTGTGTTGATTTAGCGCAAATGGCACACTTATGAGGCATTTCAGTACATTTTGCGGGCTTGGATTTCGTTCGAGTTGGCATGTAAGCGTGACCGATGTTTCATTCGCTCAGCAGGCAGCTCAGAGCGGCGCAGTCAAATTGATTGCATGTATAGACATATCCCAGCACATTTTTCATGATGAAAGTACTCCATTCGGTTGATACATGATTTTCGTGTAATTGCTGGGTTTGTGCTGGCTCAGTGCATCGTTTCCAAAGTACCTCCACTGCGTCGTGCTTTACGTACATGCTACGTTTTAGGGAAAATATGCCTCGAAGTGTCATGCATATGCTGAACATGGAACTATTAGAATGCCAATACGGAGCTTGACACATTTTCTGGGAGAAAAAGAAAAATGTACAGCAAGTAAGCACACTATCATTCAGCTCCTAGCTAGATGCTGACTGGCCTGATGCCATATGCTTGGCAATTGTGATCGATAGGCGGTGATGCGTGTCAAATGTGTTTATTTTAAGATGACAGTCATAGTTGATGTCAATTTATACTCGTGAGCCATATAAGGTGTATGAGCAACAAAGCATTTGTTGTCCCTCCTCATTATACAATACAGCTGTATTTATAGAGCGCTTTCACAACATCAAATGAGAAATTGTTTCGGGTACTTCTCATTTGACTGGTTAATGACGGGTTGACGGCTAATGCGTACGTGGGAAATGACCCCGGAGCAAATCTATCCAAACAAACCGAGCTCAATGGGGATCTGAAATTAACCCTCGAGGCAACGCTGTATGTTTTAGATGTAAATACTCACAGCGCCGCCTTAAGCTGCACCGTGGCATTCGTGCAAACCTTGTGCTTCGTGGACTTTGTGCTGTAAGGCAAGTCACACGCCATTTCGGTCAATATTTAAGAAAGCAAACATGCACGGGCACAAAACTCCTATAGCCATGAGTCAAAGGTACTTTGCATTTTGAAAGTCAATGAAAGTAAATTGAAATGAAATGCCTGTGCGGCCAGTCAAGTTGTTGTATATGTTTTTTTTTGGTTTGTTTTTTTTTGCAAACCAATTTCTACCCCACACTTCAGTATCAGTAATTGTGAGCATGAGTGGAGTGAATAGTTACAAGTTGAATTACGGTGTGTGCCTCAAAATGTTCTTCTTGTACCCTAAAATTTCAGGTTTGTCTCACTCATAGCCCCCCCCCCCCAAAAAAAAAGAAAAACAGAAGATGGGAGGAATTAGTGGCCTCACGAAGTGCACTGGAAGAACTAACATGATGATGATGTCTGATCTTCGTCTGCGGTTAAGAAACTCTCAAACTACAACCGAACATGATTGTGGGATAACAACATCCAGCAGAAGGAGAGCCTAAGAAGAGCGTAGCACTGGAAAATCAGTTTGGTTCAACTCGGAACAGAAAGCCAAACCGGACAGTGCAGAGTGACGAACGAGCCAGTGAGAGCAGTCAGCAGTTGAGCCAGTTACAGTAAGTGTCCAACCCTTACAACCGCACCACACTCCAACCCTATTCCCACTTCCACAATGGGATGGAGGCACATCTGGAAGCCATCACGGATATTATTTACAACCAGAGTGAGGTAACGACACAAAAATGCTGTTTTCAAGAGAGATGGGGGGGGGGAGATGGAAAGAGATGGTGACTTTTCAGGATTAGACGAGCAGAGGAAGAAACCTGTGGATGGCCTTCCCCTTTGTCTGACCGTGACGGGGCTGCTGGAAGGAAGAGAGCTCATAAGCTACTTTTCATAGTCCATCATGTAACCTTGTTGAGAAAGAGCTATGAATCAATCATAAAAATGAACAAATGCAACCCTCAATGTCTGCCGCGAGGGATTTCACTCACTTGCTCACCTCATTTTCCTCCTCTTCATTTCCAAGAATGCATATGGAAATCACAATTGAACCAGTCCCCCACCCCGCCGAAAATTCTGAGAGAGAAATCCCAGCTGTTTTCCTATGGTGTCGCATGGTTACAACCAGCGAGTCTGTCCATTTAATTTCCCTTTTATTCATCAGAAACATCTGATTCAATTCAAGCTGGCCCCAACAACTTCAGCATCGTGTTCCTGCGCCTTCCACTCCCAAAATGAGCTGGTTCGCCCTTCCTTCTTCACAATGAATTTATTCCAAATTCATTGCCTGACAAATAACATTGAAGTGAGTTGTTGAGTGACAGATAGCTGAATGAAGCATTTCAAGGTCACCGGGAACAAAACATCATTCCATTCTTCAAGGGGAAGTGACTCTGTAGCCCACGCTCTCTTTAGTCATACAAATGCAAGTAGCCCAAACAAATTGCCCCAAATATAGCCGAAAATAGAAACAGACCACTTTGTCAACGCCTGGGGCTCTCCCAACAGATGTGTTTGTGGGGCGGGGCACCACCGACCCAAATGAAAGGTGTCTGGCTCTCTCGTGAATGATAGCTGTGAGATCGCCGCAGGCGTGCGGACAGCAGCCCAACTCCCAGTTTGCAATGCAAAATATTTGTGACTAAATCACTGAGAACCGCCGGAAATAAGTGAAGGGCAAAATGGGAAAGCGCTCAAACGGCAGACAATTTTGCTCTGCAGCGGGAAATACAATCCAGTGCGCGAGCGCACGCGAGTACACTTGGAACACAGAGTGCGAGCTTTCAAGTCAACGCGTTTGACCCACAGTGCA